TGTCCAGAAGCTGCATGATCATATTTATGTAAAAGCTCTTCTACAAAAACTTGGATTTGAAATTCTAAAAATGTAATATGTTTCGCAACTACATTTTTATGGAGCAAAAATGAGTTCCAGAGTACCTTGTCTAATAAATGTAGAAATATCTTTTTATAATATTTTTTCTGACGTTTTCAGATTGTCGTATGAAAGGATAGTTCTTAATCACAGCGATCTATACTATACTTGAGTATATCTTCATTTTTTTATTTTTGGGGCTGATCATGGGAGTATCATGAATACTGCTCATCAAATACACAGCCTTCTTATCTTTCCACTTTATAGCCAAAATCTTACCTCTTTGAAAAGCTATGATTTGGCCTTTTTGCAACTTTCTTTTAGCGAATTCTGTAGATAAATCTCATCTGTTTATCCTTACTGTGCCATGAACATCTGTTTTGGAGGCTATAAGTAAATCAGCAAGTTCGGGTGACATGTAATAGTTATCTACAGTCACACAGTAACCATTTCAAGAAAGCGATTCAATAGGTGCATGATGGCTTTTGTGGAAAGGCCATAATTTATAAACAATTCATTGAAGACAGTTCTATTTCCTGTATTGATAATGAAGTCACAAATATACCCTGTTTTAGCCTCACAAAGCATAAAAAATTTGATTTCAAATCATGCATGTATGATTGGAATATATTGTTTCCAAGATAATCTTCCTTTATAAGGCATCAAGCTTTCATCTACAGATGCAGCTCTTTCCGTTATGTAAAAGTTACAAAACTTTTGCCATAAATTTTGTATCACATTATGCAGCTTCCAAAGTTTTTAATTTGGTAAATATTCTTTTTCTTCAGCTTCATTATCCCAGAAATGTAAATATCGAAAAATCAAAATAAAATGATTTACAGGCATTACTTTTGAGTAAACTGGAGTGTGCAAAACTTTTCGTTGAGACCAGTACATAGCCTTATTTGGTTTCCGGGCAATACCTTGAAGAATTATTAGCCCAAAGAATAGCTTCCTTTCTCTGTCATTTGTAGGGATCAATTTTTTATTGCGGGAGCACCTTGATATTTTTGCTCTATTTGCTCTTCTTTCTTGTTCTGCATAGTTATTCGTTTCTTTGACATTTATATCCATTAGATTTGAATCCAGAAACATTTATAATTTTTCTAAAGGAGTGTAGTTTATGTTTATGGAAAAAGTTACACCTGGAAAACCTGTAAAATGGAACCATGGAGGCCCTGATAGGCTAGAAGCAGTTATTTCACATCAGTCTCTCGCATTTCCTATATCATCATCACCGCTATCGGCTGATTTACTGCTACATTCAATGTCACTCTCATCAGTTTCACTTGCATCACTAGTATCGATGTCTTCAAAATCTTCATCATTGATTGAAGAATCTAAATCATCTATACAGTATGAAGTCCGAAATCCGGTTGTCCATTATCCGGAATGATGTAAATCCAGACCTCAAAACCAACAACAACGTTGCTTTGCGCATGTGCATTTGATTTCCTCCTCAACACATAATAAAACATCTGGAGAGTCCCGATTCATAATTTCACTTCGACACTAAATAAAATACCTTGTTATTGAAGAAACAATCGTTTTAGTATAAATTTATATATCAGCAATGGTTGGCATTGCTGCGTATTGCTGGGGCACCACTCAACGAACTTCCAAAGGTACACTATTGATCTGATGACAAACCTGGCGAATCATATTTATCATATTTTTCTTTTCATCACCGAGTTTATCAAAAATACACTTGAGTAATGACTCACGTAGTAGCCTAAACTTTTTTTTAATGTTAGTCAGTGAATAATAAAGTTGTATAGTAACCTTTTATGTTGACGTTATGCTTGGCGATGGATTACCGATTAAGTTAAATGCGTTTTTAAAATTTGGCAAGAAAATTCAAAAATTTCTTCCATAGGACTAAAAAAATTTTGTATGATGATACTCTAGACCCAAAGATTACATTTCGGCATTTGATTAAAATAACTGATTTGTTTCACATAACCGAACCACGCAGGTCATATTGACCGCAAAACGCAGAATTTGACTCACAGAGACTGCAAGACACATGGTAAGAATCTAGTGCCGCGCCTCAAGAATTAATATAAAAAAGAGGTTTTCCATTGTGACAATTCTTCTCATCAATCAGTAATGAATATCAAATCGTATTATGGTTCTAGACCGAAAACAGGAAGTTATGAAACGGAAAATTTTGATTGACAACTTAATTGAATTCTCGAAACAGGTTACAGGACTTCAACAATGTAACTCAACAGAGATTATGTCTGTCTACAGAATTAAAGAGAAAGTACTAACACAATACTAAGCACCTTAAACAACTTAACTTGAAAGAAATGTTTAATAGCGAAATAAATAAATATTAATTTTTTTTTTTTTTTTGTTTTTTTTGTTACCTTTAGATCATAAAATACTCATTATTTCATAAATCATGATTACATATTTTTAAATTTATAATTCCTATGGACCATCTTACTAGATTTAAAATGTTGATCTAATATCCAGAAAAATCCCAAATCTGGAATCGCCGAAGTCCTGACGAGTCTGGATTTCGGACTTTGTACTGTATAACATTTCAAAGAACTGGACGCCATTTTGCAACAAAAAATGCCACAAAACTTTGAACATAAACCTCTATCCTTTGAAACCTTCAGTAAAGTTCTGCCATCTATTGAACTGAAGCTGAAATAAACTTCTCACAATGTATATTCAGGCATAGCAATATGATCCACTCAAAGAACAAAAAAATTACCCTGAGAAATACTCGGCCGTGACATTTTGGAACACCAGTACCGTGCCCGAGATTATTTCGGGCATGAGAGTTAAAAGGTTAACCCTCTCGCTGCGTAATTTTTTTTGTCAAAATAGGTTCAAAAATTGCATATTTTTTATTACATATACAGTCAAAAGTCGTTAATCCGGACTCGTCGGGACTTCAGCGATTCCGGATTATATATCATCAGTTTAAATCTCGTAAGATGGCATGCAGAAATTCTAAAATTAAAAAAAATATGAAACCGTAATTTATGAAATAAAGAACAATTATGATCTAAAGGTATCAAAATTTACAAAAAAAAAAAAAAAAAAAAAAAAAAAAAGCTTAATATTATTTGTTACTTTATTAAAATTTTCTCAATGTAAGTTGTTTAAGTTGCTTCGTTTTATGTGATAACACTTTCTCTTTAATTCTATAAAAAGACATAATTTCTGTTCATTACAAAATTCCGCTGTTCACGTCCGTTAATTGCTGTGCCGAGAATACCGCTAACTTGTCAATCGAATTTTTTTCACTAACTTCTCTGTCACATTCTTCATGTCTTTATCCATTTTTGTGCAGCAATTCCCACTTTTTGTTTTTGGACATCATCGAAACTTTCGTTTTGTAGATCCTTTGGAAGTTCCAGCATCGGAAATTTCTATTTGACATAATCGAAATGTTCAGTTTACTTTTATAAAATAGCTCTTACAGTCTGCAAAAAATAATAAGCGGGATCCCCGAAGATTAAGGAACAATGCAATCTTAACATTAACTGAAATAGATTATTGATAATTTTAGCTTACACTGTCCGTTATACATTAAACGCGCAGGCAAAACGTATTCTGCAGTTGTGCACACGCATATGCGCAGTAGCCAGGTCTGCGCACGCGTAAAACGCCTGTGCGCATGTGCCAACACGGCGCATGCGCAGACAGTTTTTAGTTTTGAGGTCCGGATTATAGATCATTCCGGATGGGTGTCCGAATTAACGACTTTTGACTGTATCAGATCTACACATATTTTTAAATTAAAACATAAAAAAAATTGTAAGAGTTTTTTTTTTCAATATAGAATTAGATCATAAAAAAGTTTGTCAGAAAATTGAAATTGAAGAATAATCATATAAAAGCAAAATTTTGAAAAATAAATCTTGATTAAATTATGATTTATTTAATGGAATACAAAGATAAAATGTGTATACTAATGAAAATATACAAAATATGTACAAAACATTTATTAGAAATGAAGTTTAGTATGATAAACTTCAAAACAAGGCTCGAGGCAAAGTCCTATCTCGCAATCTTTGCACCAAATTCGCATTTATTTGCGAATTTTGTTGCCAGTTTCATTTTTCTTAACACACAGCACACTGTCTGTATGGCTCTTTCTTGATGGCATTTGGGGGTATATGGCTAGAAAAACGTCGATCAGTTAGTCTCATGGTATTGAGAGTTGAACTACATCTGAAATTTCCATCTGAATACTTAGTTCAATAATTTGCAAATAGAACTCTAGAAGCCTTATATTTTGTAATGGGTTATCTTTTTTATAAAGGATATTAGCATTCTATAGTGATTGCCAAGAAAAGGATGATGAAAGGAGATGCGATTGCCAAGAAAAGGAGATTCTACAGCGATTGCCGAGAAAAGGAGATCTGGTGGAATATTTTGCATATCAGTTTTGCACCTCTGACGAACATTTTGAATAGAAAATCAGTCTTCAGATTTATCAATCCACAGAGGAATCCAAGAAATTCTTATAAGTTTGCTATAAGTATCATCAACATAGATTATGTTACTCATAAAACACTTCCTACCAGGCATCTTTGAGCTTTGAAAACAGTATGCGAAGTAGTGCAAAACATGTTAGCATGTTTCGCAAAAATATGGACAACTAATGCCATATGTTAACCCAGATCTGAATAAACAATTAAACATCACAGAAAACCCAAACTGAAACTGTGAATGCGAAAAGAGTGGGCTGCACAGTTAAATAGATGGGGAAAATGTAAATCGTGGGTTGCACAGATTTTGCTACTTCTACATTGCCCATGGAAATTGTAGGATATGCAGCAAGAGGATTAGAAAAAAGAGATCACACTCGCATATCAAAGGTTTACCCTGCAGGAAGTTGCAAGCAGTTTATGCCAATGGGTAAATTTTTCGTTCCAATGTGATTCTCTTCGCTTAGGAAACAGCACATTCTGATTTTTGGAATAACGCGACCAAATACAGTCAAAAGTCGTTAATTCGGACTGATGCTAAAGCAAAGTTTAAAGTTTAAAGAAATTAAACATTTAGCAGTGGTAGCAATGAAAGCTCCCTGAGTTATGTTGTGCAGACATTGAAGACAATAAAAGATTTTGAACTTAACCAATTTATTAACAATATAATAAAGAATAAAAACACAAAAATAAATGTCAACAATATTAGAGTATTAGGAAAAATATAATCTAATCATCATTCATCAAATATTTTTACCTGTACTCCAAAACACTGGCATTCTATACAAACAAAAGATGTCCTAAACAGTGACTATGCGGCCTAAAAATAAAGCTGGCTACCCATTAAATAAGTCCATAATCAATGGTCGAGAAAAACACCTGAAAATTTAAATGTGAAAACACTTAAAACCGGCCTAACTCCGTTTACACAAGGAGGTCGTCGCCGTTCACGTATTTTTAATTCCGCCTTCGTTGAAGAAACATGGATGCCACCCACGGCAGTCACTCACAGGATAGCCTCTGGTACCGAAGAACTTTAATCTGGAACCATCATCTCACAAACTGGAATCAAGGCATCCTTTCACCGGACTGCATGCATCCTTTTGAAGGGGCTGGAAACCGCTCACACACCAGCCGGGAAGCGTAATGGCAGACCACACATTGAGTTGAACAGTGTTAAACGAATGTCGCATACTGCGCATACCCAGAAAACAATTTGGCGTAATTACTATGTTGGCGCGATTTGAAAAGAAGATAAATACAGTATATGGTAATGTACCGCCCTCTGATTGTAAACAAATCTGGCGTTAAAACTCTTCGTAGAGTATAATGTAAATGTAAATTAATTACTTACTGTGTTAAAATATTATTTTTTTGCTGTACTGCTCAACAACTAGAAAGCTGAAATTATGCGAAGTATTGTGAAGCAGTGTTTTGCATTCAAAATGTAAAATATAATACCTATGAATTCTGCACATTCCTTTGGAACTGTACAAATTTTCGTTCAGAAAAAACTGAAATTTAGGATATATTAGTTGAAAATTTATTCATTATACTTTTAAGCAATAAAAACAATTCAGGATTTACCATATTCCATTCGTACATACATAAAGAAACACTGAGAATATAACAAGTGCTTGCAAATAACACTGAAGAAATTTTACAATTCCTTAATGCTAGTTATTAATTCTTGGAATGAGAATATACGCGAATAACGAAAACTAAGCTAAAGCGACATACTCCAGTTTAAATTACTAAATTAATGTAAACAAATTACATTTAAATAACAAATTATTACGAGCATATGTTAACAAATATTAAATGCACTGTTTATTGACAAATTACAATGAAATATATATTAGAAAAATAAGCAAGTGCAATCGGTATGGACGTTAAAATAACTAATACGCAAAGTTCCACAACATTACAGTTGTAAACATCATTCGAACACACTCGACAGCTATGGTGATCACGAATAAGCTAGCGTAGGGTTGCTTAGTCGCCAGTATTTCTCCCCGCGCCAAAGGTACACCATCAAGCATGCGCAGTAAGCGAAATTTGCTTAACATTGTTCAACTCAATGTGCGGTCTGCCATTACGCAGCCGGAAAACCAGGAACTAGAAGGGCTGAGCCAGAGCAACGCGAGATACTTATAGCAGAAGTAGGAATGACGTCATCTCATGGCAGCCAATCAGCTATCGGCACGAATCGGCTTTTCAGATGACGTAAATCATGTTTCGTTTTTGCATCTCAATTAGGTTGAAACAGTCCGTTTTCAATGCAAACAGTGGCAGCAACAAAAGAAGTAGAAGTAACTACTATATTACATTAAAAATAAGGACAAACTAAATAAACATTTCAAGGAGGACAGATGATGCAGTAAAAGGTTTAAAAATAAGCTGTATTTTCCAACAAATGCCCCCCCGCATCATCATCTCCGACCTGAAATAAAAACCGAATGCCAGTATCTTTACAAAATTCAAAACAAATAAATAAATATCACAATTTCATTCAATTCAGAAATTTTTAAGGAAAAATTTTTCTTTGGGAACATCTTATCCCAATTATTCAAAAATTTTTTTACCATAGCAAGAAAGTCCAAACATGTTACAAAACAATACAAAGTCATATATATGATCACACACCTCAATACTTTTACCTAGGGCCCTGGTCACTCATACAACATTCTACACTGTACAGTTTTACATTTACCTAATATCCATCATAATATGACTTATAACATATCAGTTTCAAATTATACAAAACTCTTAATTTAAATACACACAAAAACAAATTTCATTAAGAAAATTGTTCCACAAAATCTTACCAGGTTATGCTTAGTCAGCGGTTTTGGTCATGGGATCAGCCAGATTATCTTTACTTGGGACATATTTTAAATCAAAAATTTCCCTGTTCAATAGATCACGAATGAAAAATAGTTTTTCACATCTATATGTTTTGTCCTTGAGTTTTCAATGGGTGATTTTGTAAAACATATAGCAGCCATGTTATCAGCAAACAATATTGGCCTCAAAACATAGTTACTTGCAATTTTTAAACTGAATGCTCATTCATCCAAAATGTTTTTAAAAAAAAAAAAAACCAAACTAATTCTTTTTGCTGATTCAGTCATGGAGATAAATTCAGCCCCTCCATAAGATAAACTCACTCCCCTTTCTTTAAATGTACGCCAAAATACAGGTGATTCTCCCAACAAAGCTATTTGTCCACCAATAGACACCATATCATCCCCCTGCTTGAAGCAAAATCCGAATCAGAATATATATTAAGCTTCAGTTCCTTGCATACCAGTTTGAAGTTTGTAGCTGTCTGGTATTTGGAAACGTACCCTAAAAGTTTAAGTAATCCTTCCCAGTGAAACTTTACCAGGATTGCTTTGGAAACTGAGAAAATATATTAACAGCATACGCTATATCTCCGGACGAGTACGATTGCAAAGAAATGAGAGGCATCCCAAAACATCCAAAACATTTCTATAAGGATAATTCATCATTTCAGTCGTTTCTTCTTGTGTACTGGGACTTTGAGAGTTGATTTCACACCTTTAACTATTGGAAGGGAGGTAATTTGTATTTTAAAAGACTTTAAATCGATCAACTATGTCTTCTATATATAATTGCTGATGAATTAAGGACACTATTGTTCTCATATTCAAATTCCACACCCAAGAAGCTTTCTTGTTTTACCCAAAATTTTCAAATCAAAATGTGAACTTCAGGACTTTTAATATCCTTTTAGCCTGAACTTCACTTTTTCCCAAACACAACTAATATCATCAACATAAACCAACAGAATGACAAAATCTTGAAAATTGATACACACAATTACACTAACTCAAACTTGGTGAAACCCTAGGTTTTACATAGTGTTCTATCCAACTTGTAGTACCATAATCGCCCACTCTGATGCAGACCATACAAGGCTCCTGTCTAAATGAACACACAAAAGTTTCTTTATCTCGCTCTACAAAACCCTGAACTTGGGACATGTAAATTTCCTCTGATAAAGGAGCATAGAGATAGGCACTTTTTACATCACATTGTATATTTGCCCATCCAAGGTGTGCAACTAAAAGAGAGAAAAAAAGCCTTATTACTGAAAAGTTGACTACATGAGAGTAGGTTTCATCATAGGTATAGTATTTAATTTGCCGATAACCCTGAGCCACTAAACGAGCTTTAAAAAAACGAACAATGTTTCCAAATTCGTCACGTTTAATGTTCTTCAACATGTTGAGTTTAATGTTCTTCCACCTGCAACCTAGTGGAGTCTTGTCTTTAGGAAGTGGAACAAGAATGCCATACCTTATGCTTTCGCATGTTGGCCATTTCCTCTTCCATCACCTCTATCCATTTAAGCCTTTTCTGCAGGATTTCATTGCCTTGGTTATAAGTGTTTGGAATTGAAACCTCTAGTCAGGCTATCTCGGGTGATATGATGTTGAAGGAAGTGCCAGGTTGGGTCGATTTCACCACTATAAGTATTGCTTCCCTTGAAATAAAACAAGGTAGGATCATACTGAATATTATGTTCAGTGCAATACCTTTCTACATCATTTGGTGATCGTAGTCTTTGATTACACCCCCTCTCAAAATAATACACATCCGTACGAGTGCCGTCTGGCCTTGGAACAGGTTTACGAAGCCAAGTTACTTGTCTCAATGTAGATTGAGTGTCAGTGCCAATTGTAGAAGAAGGTACATTGGTATCGGTTCTTTACTCTATTTCAGGAAAATAGCCAACTGGAGTGTCAGTAGATTGGAACTCTAACCCTTTCTTTTCAGATTTCAGGAAAGTAGCCAGGTAAGGGTGCCCAGTGCAGCTCCACTGCCACTTTTCTGCATTCCAACTCGACACTTTAAAAAGTAGCATTTAGGGTTTCTACTACTTTTTGCTACATTTTCCAACCAATTTTTGTGCCCTTTTGTTCGTTACACTGTACCCAGTCTAATCGGCCCTTCATTGCCTTTGGATCAAGTTTAGAATTTCTTTTAGCCTTTTGGAATTCCCACATAGGCAATTGTTCCGAAATGCCTTAAGGATGACGTACTGACGGTTTCCGCTTAGTGTATAATTCGAATGGGGTTCTATCTTGGCCCTTATGACAAATTCTATTAAATGAATATGCAAAATACATTACTGCATCTGACCAAAATTCGGAACTCATTCCACTATCGTGTAAGATTGCACGCACATTATTGAGAGCTGTCTGATTAAATCTCTCACAAACTCCATTCTGTTCTGGAGTGTAGACATCTGTAAATTTGTGCTGTACACCATTTTTATTACAATATGACCTGAATTGATCATTATCATATTCTCGCCCATTGTCAGTCCTAAAGTATTTCAACTTAAGGTTTAAAGATCTTTCCGCACGTGCTATATGCCTTTCAAATACTTCAAACACC